ATTATGGACATTTTCTACAAATATACAAATTTGGATATAGTATATTGTTTTGAAAGCACATGTGATCTATCTCATTTTGTTTTAAAAATATCTAAATTTTATAATGAGGAACTACTAGAAGAAAATATACTCTACTGCTGTCAGTGCTTCTGTCTGGACATTGGAGGTGCTTTTAAATATATTTCTTGCTCTTTCTGCACTTTCCAAACTTTAGACACCAAGAATTGCAGGACACACACTCATCATAAAGAACAGGGACTGAGCACTTCACCTGCTGCCCCTGCCAGGGCCTGGCACTGGTTGACAACCTGCTCTTGGGGAGGTCCCAGGAAGGCGTGTGCAGAGCTAATGCTCTATCACTGATTGAAAAAACTCTTATTCAGGGGGTTGTCTAGAAAGTCTAGTAGATATATTTTAGGCAGCTTCAATCCCCTGGTGAGAGGCCAAACAGATTTTCCTTGTCTGATTCTGCCAACGAGAGTGACCCACTCAGAAAACTAAGAATGTAAAAATAATGTTTAATATTTTAATTTAATAAGTCCATGTGTGTGATTGATACAAAAATTATTTTATAAGCTATTGGAAGTTGATAGTGTATTAAGTTCAATATTATTCAAAAGGATTGAAACATGGGTGTGCATATCTGTATTCACACACGTGGAGTATGATATATCTTCAATAGTAAATGAAACAAACAATGCTCCCTCCTGGGTTGTGGCAGCTACTGTAAGCATAACCCCGAGCTTCTGCGCAAAGGAAAGTTGCACTAGGGAGTGTGGAAAGATGAAAAGCCTGCTGTCCCAGGGCAGAGAGCACAGGCACGCCACGTAGGACAAAGCCAGGCCCAGGTCAGGCGAGGGGCTCTCAGGGTCTGCATTCATTGGCCTTGTTGACTACATTACCACTACACATATTGGCCTTATCTAAGACAGTATTTTTTGAGGTGGAGGAGTAAAGAAGATCAACTGCCTGGCTACCTCGTTTATTTTCTGCTGAGACCATCACCAAGAGTATAATTACTTCAAAACAGTAATTGCATTGGTGGGGTCTGTGGTAGGAATGAAGTTGAATCAGCTTTGCCTATTCTCCCCCTGCAGAGGCTCTTTTAAACTCTAATTACCGCAGACTTCTGTTGGCACTGCAGAACTCTGAATCCACTCTGCTGCCGGAGGTGAGTTAATGAGACACTTGGTCTCCCAAATCTGGAGAAATTTGGAGTCAAGGCTGTCTTCCTCGTGAAGTCAGATCTTTGCTATGGCCTGTTTAGTTTTAGGTAAAAACAGTGATATTTGCTCTTCCCTTATTGAGATCTGTCAAGAATCAGTTGGGCCATATTTGTATGTAAGTTTTTAATGGTACATGGGACTTGTTTGAATCAGGAATGGTAAGACCAGCAGACAAGGAAAGAACTGTCATGAAGAAAGAAGTTGAGCCTCTCGGGTCCCTAAAAATAGAAGGCACACTATGCCATGCACAACTGCACAGGGAATCACCAGGGTTGGTTAGGAGGTAGATGAGGCTAGGTATGAGATTGATTGTGGTTTCCATGGGAAGGAAAGGGTGAGACAAGGTCAGCAGGCTAAGGATGGACTGATTTGGATCATCTAGCAGGTTTGGAACAGAGGGGCTGTCCCTGATCATCTGGTACGTGGCCCTGAGTGAGTAGGGGGTGTGGTTGGCATAGTATGAGGACCCATAGCAGAGGGGTGGGGTGTGAGCTCTGATTGGTGGTTTGCATGTGAAAGGTACTCTGGTGCATTGTTTATCCTATCTCTAGGAATAGGCTAACACTAGGAGGGCAGACTTCCAGGATCAGCAAGGCCCAAATGTCAAAGCATAACCATAACACAGAAAATGTAAAACATGGTTAACCAAGTGTGGACTATTTTTGGACTCTCCATCCTGTTCCTTTGACCAGTTTATTTATGTTTATGAGTAGCTTTATCTTGAAATAAGACAGTATAAGTTCTTTTACTTTGTTCTCTATTTGAAAGTTGTTTTGGCTGTTTTATTCTCTTTATATTTCCATGTAGATTTTAGAATCAGCTTAGCCTGCTCTGATTTTGATGGATATTGCATTGAATTGATAGATGAACTTGGTGTGGCTGGCATCTTGTGTAATGGAAGTGCTGAGAGGGGACATCCTGGCTTTGTTCCTGATCTTGGGGGGTAAGCACTCAGTCTCTCACCCTTATGTGAAAGTGCTCTTATATTCCAAGTTTGCTGAGAACTTTTTCATGATTGATATTGAATTTTGTCAAATGCCTTTTCTGCATCTATTGAGATGATCATATAGTTTTTCTTTTCTTTTTTTGTTTTTCTTTTTTAGTCAGTTTATACGGTCCATCCACATAAAAATCAATTACATTGATTTGAAAACACACACACCATGAAACCAATTGCATCTCTAGTTGAAATCCACTTTGTCATGCTTTTTTATATTGTAGGATTTCATATACTAAGATTTAATAATTTTAACATCTATATGAGGAATATTGATGTGTTAACTTGTGTCTTTTTGTGGTTTTGGTATCAGGTTAATGCTGCATCATAGAATGTGTTGGGAAGTGTTCTTTTATATTCAGTTTTCAGAATGAGTTAGTAAGGAATCGGTATTATTTTTTCCTTAAATATTTGGTAAAATTCACCATTGAAACCATGTGGTTGGCTCTTTTATTTTGGGAAGGTTTTTTAGCTTGAATTCAATTTCTTGAATACATATAGATTTATCTAATTCTTCTTGAGTGAGTTTTTATAGCTTGATTCTTCTAATTTTTTCATCTAAGTTATTAAATTTATTGGTATGCAATAGTTTTTAATATTCCTTTGTTATATTATATTTTAACTAGAGGCCCGGTGGATGAAATTCGTGCCCGGGGTGGGGGGGTCCCTCAGCCCGACCTGCACCCTCTTCAATCCGGGAGCCCTGAGGGGATGTCCTACTGATGGCTTGGGCCCACTCCCCGTGGTTCTCTGCTCTCTGTGGGGCCTGCCTGCTCCACACCATGGCAGTGGGTAAGCAGGCCCTGCTGGGTGCTGCCTGTGGGCCGTGCTTGCCTGCTCACGGTCGCCGCGGTGACGGCCAAACAGACCCTGCTGAGTGCTGCCTGCAGGCTGTGCTTGGCTGCTCCTGGGCTGCACTTGGCTGATCCCGGGTCACCGCAGCAACGGCCAAGCAGGCCCTGCTGGCCCCAGACACTCCAGAGGCGGCAGAGCAGCGATGCTTGATCCACTAACGCAGTGGGCGGATCCCGCCTCTCCACTTGGTCTCTGTGACCCCTGGCCGGGCCGACAGACCCAAACATTCCAGCGGCGGGGCTGAAGGGACTAGGCGCCGCCGTGTTGTGGCTATGGGCGCTACCATCTTTGTGATGGAGTGGTGGTTAATTTGCATATTACTCATTTATTAGATAGGATACTTATTTATTATTGAAGTAAAATTTACATAAGATGCAATTAATCATTTTAACATGTACAATTCAGTGGCAATCAGTACATTCAATATTGTGTAACCACCACCCAGTTTCAGAATTTTTTAACTTGTCTATCACATCAAAGAATCCAGTATGTAGTCACTTCCTATTTCTCCTTTTCCCCATCCCCTGGACACCACTAATCTACTTTTTATCTGTGTGGATTTATGTATTTTGAATGTTTCATATAAATGGAATCATACAGTATGGTGACCTTTTGTGTTTGGCTTCTTTCACTTATATCATGTTTTTAAGGTTTATCTGAGTTGTAGTGTGTATCAGTACTTTATTCATTTTTATGACTGCAGAATGTTCCATTTCATGGATATATCACAATTTATTTATTCATTTATCCATTGATGGACATTTGGGTTGTTTCCACATTTTGGCTATTGTGAATAGTGTTGCTGTGAACAAGTATCTGTTTGATTCACTGCCTTCATTTATTTTGGATATATACCTGGACATTGTTAGGCAGTTTCTAGTTTAGTACACCAGTTTTGTCTGGTGCTAATGTGGCCCTTCTGCTGAGGTGACATTCTTCCAAGAGCTCAGCCCTGTGGTCCCTGTGCCATAAGGTTCCCTGGTCTGGTTGTTGGGAGTGAACATATTTCTTTCTAGAGCTGTGGGAGCTACAATGCCTGTTGTCCTGCTTTTCTTCTGTTGGCTCTTTCTGGTTACAGGTAGCTTGCTCACTCACATGTGCTAATTGGTGTCCAGGTGAAGACTGAAGTGAACCACCTCCCCCCACCTCCCTACAGGTCTCTCCACACTTCTCTGTGTGGCCCTCTCCTTTCTGGTACTCTGCCCTGCTCATTTTAGCCTCCATTGCCTCCCTGAATCACAACTTTGTTTCTTCCTCTCAGGACTTCCTTTGCTTTACCTGCCCTACCACCCCACCCGCTTTCCGCACTGTGGCCTGGAAACTCTCACCACACTTCAGACTGGGCAATCAGGATGCATCACTTTGTTCTTTCCCTCAGGGATCATTTTCCTATGATGCCTGTTGACCTGTGTCTGAACACCTGTCTCAGGTCTTTTATCTGTTTTTTGTTGTTGTGGTTCTTTTTTCTCAAAATTTTGAGAAGAGTCTATTCCTCTTCTTCTGTCATGGATAGAAGTGGATATCCTCCTTTGGCAGTTTCTGACACCCCCATCCTCTTCAATCCTCACTGGACTGAGGTCTTTGAGCTGCCTAAGAAGGCTCTGGTGTTGTTGTTTACCTGCCATTGAAGTTTGCACAGGTAGGCCTCCTTCGTCTGGTTAGGGTTTAGGGAAATCTGGGTCTCTGAGCATTCATTTATTGGTATCTTTTAAGTTCCAGACTCAGCTTAGACTCTAACTGCTTTTTATAGAATTCTTTCTCTGGAAAACTACCTTGACTTTCCAAGTAACTGGTTTATGATTATGTTTCAAAAATAAATTACTTTGGTTTGATGAAGTTTTATGTCTAAGGTGACAGAGCATTCTTTGTATTATTTTCTACATGTGATTTACAATTATAATAATTTTTTAACCTGTTTACAGGGTTATCTACAAGAGAGACGGTCTTCACATGGTTCCATGTAAGTAGTGCTTCTTACAATGCCTTTATAGAGATTATGTCTTTAAATTGAGTGATTATTTCTAAGTCAGTTGATTTTTAAAATCTTGCTTGCATATGAAGCCATGTGTCTTGCTGCCCTTCATTGTGGCCTGATTTTATGTCACATGAGGGACCTGTTACAGGTCAGGGTGCAACAGCAGAGCCAGTGATATACACAATTTCCCTTCTAGCTTTTGCAGAACCAATGTTGAGAAGAAGCAGTTTTTTCTTTTTCTATTAACCTTTCTTCTCCAAAGTTAACCTGCTCAAACTGTCCAGCACTGGACCTCAGGATGAGTTGTTAGTGTGCCCTGCCCAGACACATGCCTTTGCTCCATGTTCCAGTGGTGCCCATCAGCCAGGCAGTGATGAGTTTGTGCTGTGGCCATGATGGCATGTCTAGGTCTTGTGGATACCCTCTTTGTGGCTGTGACTCCAGTTTACAAAACTACCTTGAAATTATTCCTTTTCAATTTATCCTTAAGAGGTCTGTTTTTCTAAAATTTATAATAATATTTTCTAAAAATTTCCAGCAGTCTTTTATGGAATACAAATGTAGTCATAAGAGCAGCTAATGTTTATGAAGTGCCTGATTTGTGTTAGCTATGCTGGTCTGAATACTTTGCTCAGTCCCCATAGGACCCCATAGAGGTAGGTACTGTTCCACCCACTTCCAAGGCTCGGGAAGGTGATGTCACTGTGGTGGTCAGTGGTGAGATTGGGATTTGAGCCGAGGGCTCTGACTTCACAAGCACGAGACTTCATGGGGGTAGGATGGCTGGAAGCTGCTTGGATGATGTGAGGTGGGCTCTGAACTCAGTGTTTGCCCTTCCCATCAAGTGGTTTTGGTGGCAGCCCTAAGTGGCCACCATGGAGTGCTGAACTCAGCCATTCTGGTGGGAGGGTGATATAGACACAGCCCACTGACCTTCCAAGGACTGTTGCCTACAGCAGAGCAGTGACTTCATCAGCAGCCCCTTGGGAGATGGTGGCAAGGAGTTGGGGGCATGTGCACATAGGTATTTAGGGCTGGTGGGTAACTGAATACAGACCAACATTTGAAAAAGAGAGTTTTTACTTAACAAATTATTTGAACAAAGACCTTGTTTGTTCTTTCCTTTATTCAGCAAGTATTTATGGAATGCCTGTGATGTGCCAGGTACTCTTCTGGAATGCCTTAAGCTTATATCCTTGTGAGGGTCATGAAACATAAATCTTGTAAGTAACAGTGTATCAGGTGGTAATGCTGCTGTGGAGTAAACAAAGAAGGGGAAGGGCCTTAGGAGTGCTGGATGCAGTTTTGAATGGTCAGTCAGTGCGAACCCTGAGAAGGGGGCGTCTGAGCAGAGCCATGAAGGAGGTGCAGGAGTGAGTCCTTTGGGTGTTGGAGAGTGAAGGCCTCCAGGCCAAGGGGAGCTAGAGCAGAGGCTCTGGGCGATGTGTCTGGCCAGTGTGGCTGGAGCCAAATGGAGTTGAGGAGCAGAGGCAAGAGATGAGGTCAGTGGGCAGTAGGGACACACACATCAAGGGCCTAGAAGTTCATCCTGAGGCTACTCTTGCTCTAAAAGGAATGGGGGCTGAGTGTAGGGGTGGGGAACCAGGGAGTCTTTTTTTAGACTAAAGCTGTTACATAGAGGACATCCAAATTCCTTCTGGCTTGGGACCAATGTTGTAATTGTGCAAATCTGAATCTAATTTTCACAGAAACCCCAAGGGAAAGGCCCCTGAACTCAGGCATATAAACAACGTCCTATATGGGCTGGGCCTCTTTCCCCTTAGATTTTGGTCTTGTCCAAATTCCTTCACCTGAGTTCGGACTGGATGTAGCTCTGGAGGTGAATCATCATGCCAGGGTGGACTAGGCTGGCTAAGTTACCCACGCTGTCTGTGGTGTACAGCATGGTGGATTCCACATCAGAAGAGAGGCAGAGACAAACAATGTGTTTGAACCATCAAGACTGTGGTTCCGGAGGGTTGCAATGGGGACTCTGGGAATTCCCTGAGGCTCGGTTAAGTGAAGGCAGCCAGCTTTTTATAGGGCACCTGTGGCCTTTTCTGCAGGTTTGGAGGGGGCTATTAGGAGCACTTAGCTGGCTGGAACAGAAACGGCTCTGCTTCCCTTGGCAATCTTGGTTGAGCCCTGCAGTGTCTTCCGGTGGGATTTCTGGGAGTGGGATGAGCCAATAAAGAGCTCATCTGCAGTGGGTGATGCCCAAGGGAACTGGTGGCTTTGGAAGAACTTGAGTTTCCATTTGCACATCTCTGAGAACTTTCCACACTTTCTTTGAGGTGAAGGGCATCTGAACATAGTGAAGCCGCAGACAGACTTCTGGCCTGTGCTTACACAAAGCAAGGCTCCCGCAGCTGGCTGGTGGCAGAGCCCCTTCTGCGCCAAGCTCAGGACTGGGCCTTAGACTACATTTAGAGAAGGAAATTAAGAGATAATGATAATGAGAATTTGTTGAAAAATTTATTTACTTCGAAGTCTTTTAGTCTTTGTAGTACTGAATTGGTTTTTTGTTTTTCAGTTTTTTTCCTGCATCGTATTATAATAACAGCTTCTCTGTAGGATTGGAAGTTTTGGAACATTTGAAAAAAAGAACTTAAAAAATCACCAAAATGAGTACAGGCAGGAGAGCTGTGCCGATGAGCTTGCTGACCGAGACTCCTCCCTCAGAGGACCCTTCCTGCTGTGTCCTTCTTGGTGACCCTGCTGCCCATAGCCTGCAGTTCGTTCACAGGGCCGCTCTGCGATCACTTTCTCACGAACACCCCTGACTCCTTCCTGTGTTTGAGTGTCTACTGGGCACAAAAACTGCGTGGTATTTTGGGGAGACCATGTAACCCTGCAGACTGGCCCTCGCGAGGGCCTTGGCACAGCATCCATCCCTGCCCTGACCCTGGCCACACCTCTCCAGTGGATTTGCTTTTTTTATCTGAGACCATGGTTGTACATCTGATCTTCCTTTCTCAGATTTCAGTCTCAACTGGTACTGTGCCTCTTTCTTATCCGGAATGCTGCCAATCCACCTCTTTGCCCAGTGCTCCCTGTGTCCTAGGGCAGGCCCCCTCTCCTTTACTTAGGGACTTGCTGCTACCTAAGTTGTGCCACCTCTCTCCTGGGCTTCAGGTTCTTCTCACTGACAGATCACCTCTGTTAGCATCCAAAATGACTTGATTGCTCCCATCTTAAAATAAAAAATTTCCTTCCTTGCTTTTCAGCCAAAATAGGAGATTAATTTCGCAGTGACCTCTGTTTCTTTTAAAAACTCACTAAAAGGGCACAAGTTACCAAGAGATTAAGAGAGAAGGTGACAGAATTTGGGAATTTGGAAGGCAGATAGACAAGCAAAGGAACCTAGCAGATCTGAAAAATAGAAAGCTAAGAGGCGTGTGTGTGTGTGTGTGTGTGTGTGTTTGGGACGGGGGGAGGGCGCGGGGGCGGGGCTGGGAGTTGAATGTACTGCATTGCAACAGTTGTTCCCCCCAAGTCTCAGGAATGACATTACCATATAACTCTGAAAATGGGGCCAGCAATAAAAATAGGGCTGAAATAGAAAATTGGTGTAAAGCCTGTTTAAGAAGCAGTCAGACTCTCAGCCCCACCTAGCCTGACGATCCCTTCCCTACCCTGGCTGAAGACTGCAGTTTCTTCCCCTGGGGGGTGGGCCACAGTCTTTAGGCATAGTAGAGGGGACTGTTCTAAGCAGAAAGTGGAGCCAACCTCTGCTCTGTTGGCCCAAGAACATTGGAAACCTGAGATGGACTATTGGATGTGAGTGAGTGGAGCAGGCAGGGTGAGGACTGGGAGTAGGAAGATGGTGGCTGCAGGAGATCACACAGGCTGTTTCCTGCTGTGTTTGAGTAATCCCTGGCTGAGAGTTTGAAGATAAATTGGCATGAGTACCAGGACACTCAGCAAATCCTTATTAACTCCAGGACGCCCCTACATGGTACAAGAAGGGGGATGCAGCAGGAGGAATAAGGTTCCAGAGCTCCCACGTGCATGTCTTGACAGTGTCCTGAGAATGGGTACTGAAGACTGATGGTCAGACCTGAGCAGGTAGAGGTGCGTGGGTGACTCTAAGGGTTAATTCTCATGTTCATAGTCGGAGGTTAGCGGATGACACAGACTGTAAAGCCAAGACAAGTGAACTGAACCTGGGAATTAGAAATGTGAAAAGAAATACCAAAAGAAGAGAAAAGAACCAAGAGAGATGCCTGTCAGAAGGGACACTGTTTTCACCATAAGCTTTATGGAATTCTTTGACTTTAATTATGTACATTTATAATTTTGTTAAAAATAAAATTGAAAGGTTATATAGCAAATAACTATTTTACAAAATAATAGTTATGAAAGCAGGGTCTCTCTGTACCCTCCTCTCTGTGCTCCTGCCAGGGCCAAGCTGGAGTGTGTGGCCATCTGGTCCTTCCCAGCAGGGCTTTGTCTGTACCACTGGGTTGGTTCACATGGCCTCTGCCTCCTGAATTTTTTTTCCTTTTTTTTTTTTTTATTGCTTAAAGTATTACAAAGAGTATTACATATGTCTCCTCTTTTCCCCCCCGCCCTTGACAATCCCCTGGCCTCCCCTACCCCCAGTGTCTTATGTCCATTGGTTATGCTTATATGCATGCATACAAGTCATTTGGTTGATCTCTTACCCACCCCTCCTCCTGCCCTCCCACCTTCCCCAGCCTTCCTGCTGTAGTTTGACTGTCTGTTCGTCTGCCTCTTGAATTTGATGAAAAAGTCTTTCTTCCAGGGCTGGAGCTCTGCAGCTTTAGACCCATAGAGCAACGCCTTCCCATAATGTCCCATGTTTGTTTGTGCCCCATGCTGTGTGAGCTCTTTCCTGATGCTCAGTGAGGACCCTGCTGGTGGTTGGTGCTTGGGGGCCTACTGGGCCCATGGCACAGCTGCAGATGTTTTGGTCTGTTTCACCGAAGACTTCACATTAGGGATTAAGGTGCATACATACC